CCTCTCTTTACAACTCTCACTCGCACCCTCTCTGCAATTTTCCCCCGACTCCCACCACTCTCTGAATCTCTTTCACAGACTCACACACTCTCTGCCGGAGCGCACACCATCGCACTTGTTCCTTTTTTTTTCTTCTTCTTCTGGTTCCAACTTCTGGATCATCTTTCTGGTCGCGGCCCTTGGTTGGCACGACCTGCGTGCGTGCGTGCGAAGCAGCAGCAGCAGCAGCAGCAGCAATAGCGTACACCGGGCATTTGTTCGCCCGCTGCAAATCTCTACTATGCGTGTGAGGTACGACACACACCCTGAAACCATGACCTTTGTTTGCTGTTGGGTCCCTTCTCTTGACCGTGTACTCACCGCACCTCACCCCCCTGCTCGCCCCGCCGCCCCTCTAGCCCTGTGAAAAGAACCAGGTGATATGTTGCGGATTGGTCCCGTATCCGGAGCCTGGGGCCATCTGGCCAACTTTTGGTTCTTCCTGGCGGCCATCTTCAGCGACATTCTACTCATTCGTATCTGCCTGGTCGGAGGCTTCCTCTTCCTCATCATCAACGCCTTTACGGGTCTGCCCCTCGAACCCGATGTTTTCATCAGCACCAGCTGGCCCGATGGCACCATTTTCTTGGACCTGATCATCTGGTCGGTCGTCACGGGCAGCTTTCACGTCATTGCCATCTGGATTCACCTCTGCGATGAGCGCCAACTCAAGCTCGATGACAACGAGGAACCGATTTGGCGCTACTTTTACCGCCGCGCGGGCATGCCCCGCACGGAATTTCGCATGGCTTTTGAAAAGGGTGACTTTGTACGCTACAAGGCCGGTGACATTATTGTTGCAGAGAACGACTCCTTGCACCATCTCCACCTCCTCGTGGATGGTCTTGTCGAGTTCCAATCCGCCTACAATGATCGCGAGGGCGACGCTCGCACGCTCCACTCCGGTGACCTCTTTGACCTTGAGATTGCCAACCTTTTCGGTGTGCGCATCGGTTTCGAATCTGATGGTTTCCGTGCCCGTGCCGTGACCAACTGCCTGCTTGTTCGCTGGCCCTTTGAGGCCGTCCAAAGCATGGCGGCTGGTCCACCGGCCCTGGCCTCCTACTGGCGCAGCCTCGTGCTCTACCAGGTTGCTGCTGAGCTCAACCGCACTCACCTCGACGCCTCCGATCTGCCCAGCGACTCGCATGGCCATCTGGAAGACCCCGATATCTTGTCAGGCGGTCGCTCGCGTGATTTTACCGAGCCTCTGAAAGACCACGAGCTCCCTCCTCCAACCACCTTCAAATCCATCTTGCAATGGCTCTGGCGCTCCGCCAGCCCCTTCCCACCCCCGGGTCTGCGTCATAACACGCTCCCCACCTCTGGTCAGATGGCCTCGCAACGTCTGGTGGAAATGCGCACGCGACTGGCCGAGCTGGACAAGATGCATGCCAGCAACGAGCAACCCTTCACCTCCGTCTGGACCGGCGGGGCTCGTGAAAGCCAGAACGCAGCCCTCATGCGCCGCGTTACCAGCCGCCTCAAGCGCGCCCAATCAAAGAACAAACCGGAACACCCTGATAACGACGCTAAGGAAACGGGCCAGATTGTACATGACCTGGCGCTGGCCCTCTCTCGTAACAGCGAGACCCCGCCCGCAGACGCCAATGAAACCGTTCAGGAAACTTCCCTGAGCGCCAGCGAGCAGCCGGCCTCTACCAACCAGAAGAGTGTCAAGCGTAAGGTTTCCGTCAAATCGACCCGCCGCGTCTCGACGCAATCGGCAATCCTCTAAAAAGGTCGACGCCAGACATGGCCTCGCTGCACCGCAAGCGAAAGAGCTAGCGTCTTCGCCCCTTTCCAGTCCCTTTGACGTGAACGTGGCACGCCATCGTCGTCCCCCACCCCCACCCCATTAACAATGACTTGCTTGATCAACCACGCCATGCGCACTTCTGCCCATGAAAACTTCTTCAAGCATGCCAAGACCCCAGTCCTCTACATCCGAGTTGTGAGATGATGGGGTCTCTGGCACGTGTACTTTAAAGCAGCTCGAATTGCAAAAAAAATAACCCTTGTCTAACCTCCTCTCAACAGTGTCAAACGGTGTTGCCGGAAACGGCCTCTAGTGTGGTGCTACCGACTCACACACACACTTCAACATTGGTATTTTCATTGCCATTGTATGTGTCAACACTATCGCAGCGCTATGGCTGTGCTCAAGATCAAATCGCGGGTCGCAAAAAGATGGGATATGAATTCAGAAGCGCACGCGCCCAAGCGCCCACCCCATGTATACACACGTGGCATTGGTGTGCGACATAAATAGCTATTCATGGTGGGCAAGAAAAAGAAACAGATATAGCAACATAACAAACACAATCACCGATAGACGAGTGCCGTTCAAAGAAACGGCGCCTAAAGACGATGAGGACAAACAAAAAGAATCTCGTCCTGCGTGCAAAACGACCCGCAGGCTCAAACCGGCACACTCTGAAAGCATTCAATCAGATTATCTAATCCTATCATTCATTCACATTGTGACGCGAACACACAAAACAAAACGCAAGTTAATACGCGGCATGAAAAAATGCGTGGTCTTCAGCTCAGGGACGGAGGGCCAAGGCAACTGACCAAGAATGTAGCCGTCTTCGCGAGATCCACAATCAGGCTCCCATTGAACGCCATGATCCACGGGCTCGCCCGGGCTGAAATGAATAAAATCAAAGACAGAAATTGAGAATTAAAAAAGTCATTCTGATACGGCCCGTGACAGCGCATTGCGCCAAGTGGTCATCACGGGCCCACGCAGAGAGAAGCAAGACAAGAGCATACCGGTAACACGTCTTGGCAAAATCAATCATCCACGCTCCACCGGGCAGATTGCCGTCGTGTACAAAAAGCAACGAACTCCCAATAATCTGCGTATTAGATATACACGTGTGAGTAGGTTTGCAAGCTCGGGCAATCCTCGAGCATGACACGCTTTTCAGAGTGTCAGGCGGGCCAGACACTCGGTCGCTTGTCCTTCAGTGAGTTGTGTTGGTCGTGTCCGTACCTCGGTATGCCTGAACCAATCCGAGGCCAAGAGTGCAGCCCGCAGCTCACGCAGTCGACGGACGTAGCCTTCCCGTATCGCACCACAGCCCTGCACAAAGTAGCCAAGACGTTCCACAATGTCCTCGCGGTCCTTGAGGGTCTTGTAGTTGAACTAAATACAAATCCATGCAGTTCAAAGTGAGCAAGCTGTGAGCCACCAACAGCCAAGGCAGCATCCATCAATACAAATAGGGTTGATTGCAAACCTTGGTTTCTTCGGCCTCTCCGTGCCGGTGGATGCCCTCAATTCGAAAGCCGAGCGCAGCACTCGAGGAAAGCTGTTCACGAAACTGCATGTACCGCATCTTGGTGATACCAACTTGCTTTTCCTCCTCCGTTGGCTCTTCTGGATCAATGGCCACCAGTTTGTTGAGTAAATCAAGGCGAGGCTTGCTGCGCGCCACATCGGCTTCCAGAAATGTCCTGGTGAACGGCCGAGGTGCAAAGCCGCAGCGGCAAGGTGAGCGGTCAAGGCTGCATTGGATCACTCTTGATGATGCAGCATGTCGTGGCATCGTGGCATCCCATTTGCCGCCATCTCGATGCCTGAGTTGAATTGATGCGGATATGCAATTACACACCGAACGCCCATCTTCACGTCCATGATGTTGGCATGGGAACACCCCGCCACGAGATTTTGCAGCTTCAAGTAGCCCTTGCCGTTGGTCATGATCACGCCGTCGTAGGCTGGCACGAACAGCTGCAGACTCTTGTGATGACGCAGCTGCTCAAACACAACCTGAAGATGCCAGGAACGAGACATGAGAGCCGTGTGGCACCGGGCCCCCGTCCTAGGGTCGAATGCTATGAGGCGGTTCGCTTACCTGCTCGGTGGTATTGGCTTGCTTGAAGATCCATTGGCCGTCCACATCCACTTTAAAGCCGTCCGAGTGGCTGCGCATGGCATCAACAGCGAGGTGAGATATCAGTGGGGTTGGGACGTCGACAAGTCAACCTTCTACTCTGTCCACAATGAGCCTGCGTGTCGGGA